CGCCCCATCCTCTCTACTGCTTTTGAATATTTGAGATAAAAAAAAAAAAAAAAAAAAAAGAAGATCCTTCTGGATCCTGTTTATGAGGGTATGACTCATAAACTCAAGTGTTCATACATGTGGTAAAGTGCCTGCTCTGCTAAGTGGCTAAAATACATTAAATTAAATTTGTGTTTAATTTTACCAAGAGTAAAAAAAAAAAAAAAAAGATTTGAAATTATAACTCTTATAACGACTCAATTTCAAATTACGTCTCAATATTCCTGGTTTTAATCTGATGGTGTCATCACTGGTTCCTCACCCTGTGGTCCTCACCTGCAAACTCCCATCAAACCCACAAACCCCCGGCCTGCACACATATGCCCCTCCCTCTGCCCTCTCTCCATCACTGCCCGTCCATCTCCCCACCTCCCTGTCAGCCCGCATCGAAATTCTTCCTCCGCCTGCTTTGAATTTCTCCGTCCGATATCTATGCAAATAATAAAGTAGGACTCGCCCCGGGAAATTGATTTCTTTTTTCCTTTTTTCTTGTCTTTTCTCCAGGGACTCTGTGTTTTATAAATAAGCACTCATCTCCACAGCATCTCCGTCTCCTCCTCTCCGCCCTCCTCTGCCTCCTACTCACACACATATACATACTGCCAACCAGCATCATAAATCAAAGAATAGGAAGAGGAGGAAGAGGAGGAAGGGGGGGGGTATGGAGGTGGGGGGGGATACAACCTCACACTCAGTAGCACAGTTTAACACATATCCTGGTTGACATCTCGCCTCTATACTGTACACAGCATCTGGAACAATACGTTCACAGTGTGATTCAACACTGCAAAGTAAACAGCGTTCACACACACACACACACACACACACACACAAATCAAACCAACACATATTTGATGCCCCGGCCCTGTCTCTCTCCACAAAACAGCCCTCCTTCAGGACACTTGTCCTCCTCCTCCTCCTCCTCCTGCTCCTGCCCCTCATCCCGCCACACAGACCCAACCCCCCGCTCCAGCCCGCAGCGCGGTCTCCTTACTCAGTCTCCTGGAGCCGATGCATCCCATGGTGTATTCACAAAGGCCCGGGATACGAACGTGGAAGTGTTATCCAGGCACCGAGCATTCTCCCCTCTCCTTGTGCGACTCTCTCCTCTTCTCTTTTGCTTCTTTTTTTTTTTTCCGCTCTCCTCCGCTATCTCTTTCTCTCTCCCTGCTGCGCTTGCTCAATCACTCTCTCTCTCTCTCTCGCTCTCTCGCTCTCTCTCCATCCCTCCCTCCCTCCTTTTGTCTTCCCGGTGCAGTGTCTTAGAAGCGATCCGGTTAGTAAGTCAGTATGCCTGAGGTAAACAGATTAGGACTAAATAAAGATCAAACCCAGAGCAGATCTATAAATGACTCATAGAATGAATTTGTCAAAAATTCAGCTCACAGCTTGGACCGGCTCACTGACTCAGACTGACACTGACTCAGACGTGTGTGTGTTCCATCTCTGGGTGGATTGTTGGGGCATCACAGGAAGTGGAGGACTGAGAGGTTCAAATAATTGGACCGATTCTCCCTGTGTGTGTGTGTGTGTGTGTGTGTGTTCCACTGACAGGTCTGTGGCTCAGTGCTGTGAGCTGCCATTGTTTTAGGGATCTCTGCACTGCTGTAATGTTGTCGAGCTAAAATGGGGGATTCTCTCTCTCTCTGTCTCTGTCTCTCTCTGTCTCTGTCTCTCTCTCTCTCTCTCTCTCTCTCTCTCTGTCTCCCCCTCCTGTGTGTGCTCAGCCTAACAATACACTGCAGCGGTTTCCTCACGCTTCTCCTCCTCTCTCAGTCACCCTCTACCTCCTCCCGTTCCTCCCTCTCTTACACCCATCACTGTAAAATAAACTGCAGGCAGAACATACACACACACACACACACACACACACACACACAGAAAACAAACAGATTTCACCCATCCATCCTTGTTGACTCCCCCCCTCTCCTCCCTCTCTCTCCTCCTCCTCCTCCCCATGACAACATCACAGATACATCCTGATCTGGTCTGTTCGACCTGCACGTGCTGCCCATCTCTGATTCCCCTGCACTAACAGCCCCCCCCACTGCACTTGTCTGACTAACACTACGTGTGTTCAGCATCACTTCTTTCCTCCCTCTCTCTCTCTCTCTCTCTCTCTCTCTCTCTCTCTCTGCTGATTACAAATGTCTGCGTTCTGTTTCAGGAAGTGTTTGTCCTGTGAATCATGTCAGCAGAGTCTGGTTGGTGAGAGGGCGCTGTACGTGTGGACAGGCACGGGTTCATGTGTGGCGAGGTCGTCGGCGTTCCTCCCACAGTTCACACATGGAGCCGCGTCTGTCTGACAGTTTACAAGTTTTAATCTGATTCATCACAGGGACTCACCCTGGATTATTCAGATGAATTATTGTCATAATTAATCAGGATCAGTTGGGATCATTTAACTTCTACAGCGTGTAACAGAGTCTTCCTCTCTGTCTGTCAGCGGTACAGACGGTCAGCAGGTAGAGGTCAGCGTTTCTCACCTGTTTTTCTAATCCAAATGATGGGATTATTAATCTGAGTGAAACTGTCTCTCTGTAGAGTTTGTGTACCTCCGTCGTGACTGTTCATCTGGGACTGTTGTGTCAGTCAGACCGTCAGTCGTACACATGTGAATTATTATTAACACGATCAAATCTCACAGCAGTAGTTCACAAACTTTTTCTACTGCGCCCCCTTTTGGCATAGAGGACTTGCGGTGGCTCCTCCCCCATGTTGGCAAGCGTTGAAATTATATTTTTTAAAAGTGTGTGTGAATAACGTGTCGACTGTATTAGAACAGCAATAAAGGCTGCGCGGTGTAGTTAAGATGAATCAAGATTAAGAAGTCCTTTATTTTTAATATTTAAATTTAATTAATTTAACAAATGAATTCACGTGACCGTTGCGTTCGTTCAGACAGCGGTCGTTTATATTCTGTATTCTTGAGTGTCCACAGTCTGTTCATCGACTTCACTCTAGTCAGATGAACATGTTCAACATTCAAAATCCAATAAACTCTTGAGTCCACAGATGTGTTCTAATGGTGTCTAACTGGAGCAGGAAGATGGAGGTTAAATGATGCTGCAGGGGTCGGGTTACACTCACGTGGACCACGGCTGAGGTCAAACAAAAACACACACACACACATCTGCTCTGGGTGTGTATTGTGAATTTGAATCTGTCCCTGTTTTCTTCTCTTCAGTCCTGTAGATGGCGTACCTGAAGAAGCAGACGTTGAGTCAGCAGAGACAGTGCAGCAGGTGTGTGTGTTGACGATGTGTCGTCACTTCGACAAGAACATTCTTTTGATAATCAGTAAAGGTAATTAAAAATCATCATTTCCTCTGGTAGAGCTGCAGTCACGTGATTCACACCAATCAAGTCTGCAGCTACAGCGTGATGATCTACGATAGCGGCTGTCAATGCCACAGAAGGTCAAACACGGAGGAAGAATTTCTTTGACACTAATCTCACTGGTGATCAATGGACCATCGACAGCAGCGACTGCGTCGCTCTGTCTCTTCTCTGCCATCACGCACACGTGAATATATAGAACGTTCCGTGACATGAGGCGTCGGCGTGCGGCTCCTGTCAACACACCTGCTGCGTTCTTATCTCACATGACGACAACGCACTGAACAAAACACCAGGTTAATGTTACTGTTTGGCAGCGTTTGTTTGTGTCTCTGTGTCTTTAATTGTGTCACACGTGTTGAAATAATTAAAACCAAACTTCTCCAAATCTGTGCTGTCCTTTTCCAGAAGTCCTGATGGAAACTGAGGAACGTTGTTGAAAAAGGAAGAACGGTGACTCCTCAGGCCATCGGTGAGAAAAGCAGCAAATGTGAAATAGTTGAACTTAAGGTTCGTTAGTTTTTTTTGTTTGTTTTTTTGGATATAAACTATTCTTATTTTTGTTTTGTAGACTTTTTTTAAATGAAGTAAATTAACATTTTAATGACGCCGTTTGAATTGCACTCCTGGCCTAAAAGAATAACAGACTGACACCTGCTGGCCAAACTGAGTTAATGCAGGCGATCGTTGAAACCAAACATCAGAGACTCTGGTGAAGTGAATATTGGAAATCATGATACGATAGAGGTCGATTAATAAGTTGATAAATCGGCGATTAACTTTTATATTAATTATATTTTTATACTCATTTAATGGCGTGTAAACAATTAACAAAACCATATTTTGAAAACTGATGAAATGAAGAAAATTTAAAGTAATGCAATTATTAATTTTTCTTTCCAGGTAGTAAATATTAGGGATCAGTAGTTAGTTCAATTTTAGCATTTTTTTTGTTTGCTTTGCAGGAAAAATGTCAATCCAAAATGTCCTGCTAAGTTAACCTCCAGGATTTACTGCCCAGACTGTATTATTATTATTAATTAGTCTGAGTGCACCATAATATGTCACAGATTGTAGTATTTTTTTATACATTTTATTTTTGCGGCCAGTAAAAATCAGACCCATTTAAACCACTTAGTGAGGAACAGACATTAACTTGGAAGAGAAGCTGAAAACTGCATGTGTTTAAGGTGAAAAATTTAGTTCAATCGTAAATCATCACTCTGCTGAACAAGGGCCATAAGTGAGATTTCCTTATGTGTCCCAAAAGAGAAAGAAAGGAGAGATAGAGGGGAGTAAAAAGGTGGGAGTAGGTACTGACATATTAGTCAGTGAGGGTGAGGGGGGTGCAGTGGGG